TGTAATTATTATAAATGCTAAATTTGGTTTATCCAAGAATTAAATAATGCTATATACGAGATTTATTAAAAAAAAAAAAGATATATTAAAAAATTTGCAACGGTCAATGGTTGCAATCGATTATTATCTGTGTACCGATCCGATGTTTAATTTTTTAAATCCTGATTTTTTGGGTGACGCTAGGTTGGTTCAGTATTACGGTTATAATGTGATAATGAATTTAAACTTTATTTCATGAAATAGGTGTATCTAGACATAATCACAAATTCAATTTTTTAAGTCCCTAATTATTTCCGAAATTAGTTAATTGGGGTTTCAAAGTTTACTTATTTTGAAAATAAGTGGGTGTTTGAAAAGTCTATTTTTGTTTTGAAATTTTGAAATCAGAAACTGAAAAAGGAGTTATCCAGAGATAAAATAACCAAACTTTTTGATGATGTATATTATACCTTATTATATAAATAAGCTTGCAAATAAAAATAAATAAGATTTATAGATCGCTGATAACAAAATTAATACGTCACCGATTTAATTCGAAATCAGAGACCTAACTTTAGGTCTGAAACCCCTATTATGAAAATTCCCGTTAAGTAAATTATATTAAATCTATTCGATATAGGGATGGCACATAATTTAAAGCACAATGTTATAAATCACTGATTTTTTATTTAAATCAATTTTAGAGATGATTTAAAACTTTTATTACGTAATATATTTCGAAGACAGAAATATATTTTTAATCGCAATGGCAATGGTTCTTAAATATAGTAGTAATAAAAATAAAATGCTTTTGTAAATCGGTTTTAAATCATAAAAATCGATTTAAATCATGATTTTTGTCATCCTTAATTCTATATTATAATAGAGCGTCGTATGTCAAGCACCTACTTAAGCTTTGCTACTCGCTATTTTGGATTTATATTACGTTCTTACTAAATTTACAATGACACATGTCAATTAATAATTGTATGATGCTGAAATTTGTGGGCTCGGTTTAAAAATATAAGCCCTGCCAAAATCCACCTATGTCAAAAATATTTTAAAATTTCATATAAAAATATTTCCAAATTTCAGCATCAGCCGCGAAATAATTAACATAAATTGAGATGACACGATGTTAACAGTAGTGATTGTACTCGGTCAAAAAAATGTTACCCGGTTAACCGGCAAGTATTCTTAATGATGTTTCACTTTTGCATACTTCCGAAATCATTGTAATATACTCTATCTACAAATTAAGTATGGTCAACTCCCTTTATAATGGTACTTTTTTATAATGAAAGATTTAAAAATTTTAAAAATTATATTATTTCTGCTACATAAAAGAAATATAGAAAACATTCAAAGTACGGGCAGTTGATGAAACACATGGTGAAAGTTTTCGTTGAAAAAGAAATTCTATGAATGCATTGTATATACTGAAATAAAAGAGATTATGCGCCATCAACCTGGCACACATTCAAGAATTGTAGTTCATATTTAAAGAATCAAAGGAAAGAAAAACAAAGGCAATATTTAAAGCCAAAAGTTTATATTTATACTTGGAAATTAAATAATTTGCTCAAATAAAAGTACCCTTATCTGAGTATTAACTGGGTATGCTTACTCAAGTAATACTTGGGTTTATCTACCCGAGTATTACTTGGGTATTACTTGGGTATATCCACCCGGGTAATTCCGGGTATGCTTACCCGAGTAGCCGTAGTTATTATCCGGTTATACGATTACCCGAGTAATACTTGACCCGAGTACAATCACTAGTTAACAGCTAAGTTACAAAATAATGTTTATTGATTAGATAAAATATTTCTTCTACATATGTATAAAGTTCTTTTTGACCCACCAGTTGTTTAGATAAATTATAAAATATTTTTATCTAATTAAATACAAAAAAAAAAGGTGTATTTACATAGGTTTAAAAATTTTAAAATGATTTCTTTTTAAAATCATTCAATTTATAAACTAGTTAATAGTTGGGTAAACATCTCAACAGATTAAAAAGCGAAAAACTAAACAAATTAAAAAAATAAAACCCAGTTAAGAAAGCCCAGAGGATAAAGTGCTTGATCAAATTTTTAATAAGATATTAAATGATCAAAATTTTATAAAGGTCATATTAAATACTTTCACTGTTATTATAAAATAAATAAAATAAAAGTTAAGAAAAGTAGCTAAAATTTTAATATAAATTTACATTATGAATAATTATTTTAATACGCAAGTGTTGATTTGCTTAGTAAAATTTCAATTTAAGCATGTTATGATCGTGGTTTCATAACAATAGCGTAATAACGCGCAGGGGCGCGTTATTTCGGGACGCGCATGCGCGATAATTCGAATCATTATGCTAATTTTGAAAAAATTTTCAACTACTTTTTTGAATGATAATATGGTACATATAGAGGGGCGCGTTATTTTGAGACACGCATGGGCGTTATTTTGAGTCAAATATGGCATTTTTAAAAAAAATCGAAATTTCGAAATAACGCCCATGTGCGTTATTACGCGCTTATACGGTATTATAAATTTACATTATTGTAAAGATAATATGCTTTAAATTAGAAACTTAAATGTGCTGAAAAATTGACTAATTAAAGTAATTAATAAAAGTAATTCAAACATCAAAAGGTATGTAGAATTTTATACTATAAACTACTTTAATAAGTACATGAATGCAGTTAACAAAAAGTCTCAAAAATTTTCGATACTCTATTAAAAGTTCGATCAATGGTTTGAGGCAAAATAAATTCAGTAATTCAAAATAAGAAATATTATTTATTGGACGAACTTGAAGTTTTCATTGAGCGAAATGTTCAGATTTTGAAAAAAAAAATTTTACCCGCGGCATTAATTTGTACCATTAAATTCGAATTTTCACGATATAAAGGCACTTTATTAAGCATTTTGTTTTTATAAAAAATGTCAGTCAAGTAGTATAAATTAGGAAAGATATGCAAAAATTAAGATAATCATATAATAAAATTTTCGACTTTACACGCTATATTATATGAATTCATTCAGTAATATTTATAAACTCGTTAGTAATGTAGATCTCGTTTGAACTACTTTAAAGTTTAGTAACTACGGTTAATTCTCCATAAATACACATTGTCGGGGAAGCACATTTTATTTATAGAATGGTACTTACTTATAAACATGAAATAACGCCCACCTGCTCGTTATTTCGAATTCGCCCATGTGAGTTATTTCGAAATAAGAGAAGATATTCTAAATCCAATGCAGCACAAATACATATAGTTTGGAGAATAAATCTACATATAATATTAAATAAGTCTTATATGACTCCCGTTTTTTTTTTATTTTAATGAAATATCGAATGTATATCATATATTGCAACAATAAATTGTGTGCCAATTAGAAATTCGGGCGTAATTCGAGACCATATAAGTTATTTTTGAAGGACCCGATTTTCAAAATACGCCCACGAGATGGTAGCCTTATACATATAAATTCTATTTATTTCCTCGGTAAACTGGGGAAATAGCCCGGTAGATCACCGGTTATATGAGAGCCCTTATATAACAATAACTGGGGATCTACAAATTTATTAATTCGTTAGGTATGTATGAACGCTTATTCCAAGTAAACTCATGTGAAATTGTGCCGGTATGTGCTAATTCTGGAGAACTCTGGTTAACTATTGTCCCGAAATTTATAATCAAATTTCACGATTTCATGTGTCAGTATTCAGATCTGAACAGTTTTTTAGAATGAATATTTTAACAAAAATTGCTCCTTCACAAATGTTAAAGACTATGTTCATAGTCTCTTTCCTTATTTTAATTCAAATAAATATGCAATTAAATGTAAATTATTCAATATTTGCAAATTATGTATTCTGGAGAATTCCGAAAATCCAAAGTTTACAATTAAATTTCGTGGTTTCATGTGTCAGGATTCATATCTGAACAGCTTATTAAAGTGAATATTTTACATATCCACGAATCTTATGATCATGTGCATGGCTTCTTTCCTTATTTTAATTAAAAATATGCGTATAAATGGTTCATTACTTTATCCTAAGAATTATAGAAGGTATAAATAGCATTCGAAATTTTTCTGCTAATGTTAAATCCATAAACAAAAATTCACTATTAAACGTTTCCAAAAAAAATTTTCCCAATGCAATTGAAATCTTCGTATTTGTTATCCACTATTACTTTGGTTCTCGTTTTAGCTATTTATTCAGCTATTGCCGCTCCCGTTTCTGAACCAGAAAATGTTCTTAGAGATGATGGAGGAAACCCAGGGTCAGGAGGTGGCTGCTGGCCGTGTTAGACATCTGTTTTGAGATTTATGTTCTCAACAGTAAATTTATTTATATCACTATTTTTGAAATTTTTATTTCGGAAAATATCGGACATTTAAACTTTATTTTTATATGCACATATTTATTATCTCTGAATAATACTAACGCTATAAAATTACTATACCAAATATATCATATTTTGGTTAATTTTTCGAAATTTATGCTCAACCTTGCTCGTATTTTGTGTTCATTCATTTCCTTTCGGAATTTTTCTAATTTAATTGTATCAATCTATTCGTTGAAAATTGGCATATTTAACAATTCATATTCTGTGAAATAATTAAAATTAGCTCGTTTAACACTTTTCGCAGAAATTTATATTTCAGAATATTTGTCTTATTTTACGAGTCCATTCCTTGTGAAAGTAAATATATCTATAGATTAGGTGAAATTTATTTTGCAATTTTTATAATTTCAATATGATTTCACATCATGATAATTTTTTTATTTAAAATACCTACAATCAATTATTATAATTTTTTAATAAAAATCGCAATTTTGCCTCAATCTTTAAAGATATTCCCAAAACTTTATATTGTAACTTTAATTGTATTATTACAATTGATTTAATCTTTAATGGAGTTTAGCATCGATCCTCAATTTTAAACCTGATTCTTCTTTTTTAAATACAAAATCGATATTTAAATTAGGATTGATTAGAGACATTCAATTTTTGCGTAGCTCATATATGAAATTGTGTGTAGCAATCGTAGTTAAAATTGTTGAAATAAAAAAGATATAACCAGATTTATTTGTAGTTAAAAATATTGATTAAAATTAAACTATCGCTATGATCAAATTATGTAAAAATTCAAAACTATCGTATTATGTCAAATAACATTGACAATGATTTGCGTATTACTAACTTCAACTAATAATCTAATTCTGATGGTCGGCCACGTAAAAAAGTATGGGATGTCTACAATATTAATGAAAAATACTTGAAAAATACTATTCTGTCCGATGCATATATTGTCCTAAGCATTGGTAAAGAGGAATACCAACCATAATTGAATCACATTTAGCAAATAAATGTTCCAAATGTCCAGAAGACATACAAAAATATTGACAAGTTAAAATCCATAATTGAAATAATAATTGAAATAATAATTATCAAAGAACTTCAAATACAAAAAACCAAACGTCACAAATCAAAACAAGCAAGTTTACGAAAAAAGCTCTGAAAAGTCAAATATTGTTGATGAGTTCTTAAGGATTTTATAATGATAGTAATTGGCATTTAAATGTATCATACAATAAACGTTAAATACTAATATTTATTAAATTTGCTTAAATAAATTTTTAGCTTCCTATTTCATTGTAAATATACTAAATAAACTTTTCAGTTTCTTATTTCATTGTTTTATCGCATGTGTATAGCGTTTAACAGTTTATATATTGATGGTTTTCATGTTTTTAGTCTAAGCCTCAAAAATATAAATAGTATTAACCAAACACGTTGATAGTTTACATTTTTATCATGTTTTATCATGAATATAGTCGACATCACTATTTTAGACCAAACCATCTCTTTATCTCTAACAGAAAATTGCTCAAGCAAACTTTTATTAACGACGTCAACGAATTACTATTTTATTTCTTAAAAGTTTTCGTGGAAAATAAAAGGCATGAGAAAGCTGGAAAAAAATTGTAGATGCATATCATTTCTTCTTTACTAATATGACAAAATTTTAACATTTCCATCTATAATTTCTTCATTTGGTAAATAACACCAACATCCATTACTTGTTGAACGGTTTCTTTATTCTTTTATTTTTTTTTATCAATTTTTGACAATGTAACTTGATAAATAGAGGAGCAATAAGAACCGCATAAGTATCAATTGCAACCTTTATTTTGATTGATTATATTTAGGGTATTCTCAAGCATCTGTCTAGATGCGAGTGTACAAGTATTATAGCGTAATTTTAGCCACTGTCATAATAACATTTTGGATAAAAGTCGATAACATGAATGATGGTATTATCGAGATATGCTAAAAAGTTACTATTATTATGATTTTCTAATATAAATCATTCTTTCGAAGATTTTATCCCTTTGACACCAAATTCGTACAAAGTGACTTTTAAATTCGTACAAAGTGACTTTCAAATTCGTACAAAAAGACAACGTAATTTAGATTAATTAAAGCACAATAACTCATGATCCGGTTAGCCAATTTTGATAATTTTGGTACCATTCGAATCATCTCAGTAGGAGGTATCAAAATCAATCAAATTGAACCACCAAAGCACAAGATATAGCGATTTAATTAATCTAAAATTACATTGTCCTTTTGTACGAATTTGAAAATCACTTTGTACGAATTTAAAAGTCACTTTATACGAATTTGGTATCAAATGGGATACAAAAAAATGTGCCGATGATAAAATACATAATAAAAAGTATGAAAACACTTGAGTAATACTTTACTCACTTTAATATTTATAAAGTTTTGACAAGTTCAGTGCAAAAAGCATTTTGACTGAAATAGTAAACTCATTGTTCATTTTTTACTATTTAAAATTTTTCTTTCATTAATAAGCTACCTTACTTATCTTAATGACAGGCTCGATTAATCAATTAAGAATACATTCCATTAATAAAATTTAATTCCCAGCACATTTTTGACATACTTTGACCCATTAATTTGGCGCTTTAGAACGCAATAAGTGAGCATCGTATAATCACCAGTTAATCGCATCGAAAATAACAACTTCAATTACGTCGTTATTTACATACAAATTGTCAACAAAATTTATATAAGCATAATTACAGCCGAATACTATTGTGATCATTAGCTAATCTCATTAAGGATGAGGTTTGAGAACGTCTTTAATCAGCAGGTACATAATCAGATGAAAAGTAAAAAATGTTAGAAGAATTCAGAATATAGGCATGTGAATTTAAATCGGGACGCACACAAATCAAAAATCATTATACATTATAAACTTAAGTTAAATTTAAATTTTTTTGTTTTTTTTAAAAAAAAAAATGTACTGCGATGCAGGTGTACAAAATTATTTTCCTTAAACCAATATTTTCGCATCCCTAGCCCATAGATCGACCAGGTGCTAGTGGTAAAACGAGAATGGGTCGGTCAATCGTTCCACGTCAAGACAGTAATCGATTTGTTGTTGATTTGATTGGTGAAAAATGTAATTGGTTAATGGGTGAAGTAATCGGTTAGACACAAGTAAAATTTAAATTTAGGGCACTTTCTAGTGACGTATACATCAATTGACTGTCTAACATCTAGCAAAAAAATTATAATTTAAAGGATCATTGATCAGATTTTATCAGTTTTATGTCCAAAAAAAAAGGTCCAATAAAAAAAAATTAGCCCAGGCATATTTCTTCTTTCCGCACAATTGTTAGTTTTAGCCTTTTCGGTAGTGCTCCGAACGGGTCGGATCGGGTTGGGCTTCAACCGACTCAAATATTAGGGCTAATAAATTAAATTTTTTAAAAAAATGAACTCAACCGTCCTTTTACTTTTAAATTTTGAAAGTTCATGTACAATGATATCGAAATCGGCTAATCAAATCGAAGCATATAACTACCACAGTAAGAATAGTGCACTGCATATTTAGAGTTTTTTGTTCTCATCCTATGGATTTATAGAACTGTTATAAAAAAAATTTTATTGATTTTGAGTTTCCTGTTTTCGTTTAAAGTTCAATAAAAATTTAGGCGATTATTAAACTAAAACAAAGATCGCAGTTAAATTTTCCAAACTTTGACCGATAAAATCTCGATAACTACCCGCTAAGATCGATAGGTAATTACTAAGATTTTTACATTCAACTGAATTCGCTTCCAAGACATGTTCGAACCCAATCATTGCTTAGAAGTTTTTTTTTTTTACATGTTTAATATAGTTTCTTGATAATGGCTAAATAGTATTTAGATTCATTTAGAAAATGTAAAGAGGCAAAATTTCACTTTGTTTTTATTTTTAACTAGATATTATTAGAGATGGGTTTCATGCGTGCGCATGATTCCTCAATCGTGCGCATTAATGCGCATTCATGCGCATGTTTTGGAATCATGCGCATTTTATCCCATCTAAATTTTATATAAGAAAAGTAAGTGGAAAAATTATAGATAAGGGCTCCAAATCGAAATAATTACAGAAGAGCCCAAAATAAAATAATTGCTAATAAAGATCCAATATTTGAAAATTATTACAAATTAGCCCAAATGTTACAAAGCCAACCCAAACACTACAATAAATGCTATTTGTGATTAAATAGATATTTAAAAAAATAATTGTTAAATCAAACTGGCATATAAATTTATTATAATGTTTACTATGTGCTTTAACCATTTTGCGCTTAGCTGAAATAGTAATCGGCATGGACTATCTTCATTCGTGGGACAAACAACAAGTAACTTTCTTAGTTGATTAGTTTAAACTTGTAAGGCGAAGAATATTTGACGGAATAAATATCCAAGGCCAACGAACATTTTCCCAATTAGTAAAGGTCATGCCGATCTGTAATTTTGTATCTGACTTTATGTTAGATTTTTAGCATATTGGCGGATTTGTAAAATTTGATAAAATAGATGAGCCGTAACTCTGGTCAAATTTGCAGATCATTTGGCAGCTTTAATTTCAACCTGGCCAAATGATCTGCAAATTTGACTAGAGCTACGGTTTTTATATTTTGTCAAATTCCACGGTTCTATTAAGAGACAATGTTAAAGTGCAAAGAATAAGTGGATTTATGAATCCAATGGATTAAAGGTATGCTTTTTATTGCACTTTTGAATTTATATTCAATTTACTAATCGATTATTATTATTACAGTTCTTACGCGCTTAACAATTAACTATAATTAACTATATACTATATTTCTGTATTTGAGTCATTAAATCACATGGGTCTTTAAGCGCAGAATTATTTTGGTCCTTATCTGTAATAATTTTCAAATATCGGGCCTCTATCGGTAATTATTTTGTATTATTTTCGATTTTGAACCCCTATTTGTAATTTCCCCAACGTTAAAGTATATAAAATTTAGGCCAGAGAGCGTATTGTCGGGCGGAATTAAGGAATATGGATGCAAAAGTCTCGAAAAATTCCGAAAAGAAAATGAATGAACATAAAAGAAGAGCAGTAAAATTTGAACAAAATCCGATATTATCCGAAGAGAAAATTTAAATTCCAAAATTTATAACATGCGATATCATGCGCATTTTATATAACATGCGCATGTTATTATAAAATGCGCATTTTTCCCATCTCTAGATATTATCTTAAATTTATTATAAATATTATCACAGTATCGAGATAAAACCCAATTCTCATATAGTGTTAAAGCATTCAACTGCCAATTATATTAATAATAAGTTTTCTAAAGCAATGATTTACTTTTTAGT